TCGAAGAGAGAGATGACAGCACGAACTTCGGCCTTCCTCTTGCCCGAGGAATCAAGTGGCGTGAAGTCTCTGGCATCTGGTTTCCGAGCAACCTCTCTTGAAAACCTTGTGGCAGTGCCACTCTCATTTACTTCATGTCCCAGCGAGATGGATACAGACTTGGCCGAGCTGTAGATTGTGGTCATGAGCTGAATCAAATTTATCTTCTCTACAGAGTTTTGTTGGACAATGCTAAGTGCGTTCACCCAAACGATGACTGCGTCCTTCTGTTGTCGAAGTGCCCTCAAAGCGCCATGGAGGCTGGAAGAAACACGAATTTCTATGCAATAGGGTTCTCAGCGTTTGGTGTCTCCCGGATTTCTCCAGATGTAAAATATAGCAACGAAGCTTAGTGGGCTTACGATGTATCCATGCAATATCTCAAACTTGATTGTGGAGGTACTTGCCGGAAGACCTCTGATCAAACGAAATCCGTCTCTGCCGAGCTGTCTATGATTATAGACTTTTTCACCGAAGCCTCGGCGTGCACTAGTAGGTAACCAACGGTTCATTCGTTACAAGGCCGAATGCAACGTTGTTCCGATGCATAGGCCCCTTATTCTGGAGAGAGCGTGCTTCTGGAAACGGGCTATCGTAGCCAGACTCCACAACTGTGCAAGGATGCTTCTCTGCTTGAGATCTCACTTGTATGACAGGCGACGACGGTTGGGGTGTGGTCCTTATCTTCTGTCGTAGTTCATTGTCGGATTGGTAGCCCCGGATTGGGCGAGGAACCGAAAGATAACGAAAATCATCTTCATGAGTACCTTTGATGTTCCTGTCTGCCATGTTCGCAGGCTATTGCGGTTGCTATTCTACAACGATAACGAGTTGCGAAAGACATCAAGCTTTGGGAACAGGGAGAAAACCCCGACGTCGCAAAGGAGGGGGTCCAAGTCCTGAGTGAGACTGAGGGCATGCAAAGGCCGAAGAAAAGGAGGGGTGAGAAGCAGGCTCTATGAATCTAGTCGGGCTTGACATGCGAGCCGCTAAAATCTTACTGTTCACACCATATGCCCACAAAGTATCAGTACGCGCAGAATTTGCCAACTTCTACAGTGTGTGTAACATTATTTCCGCTGATATTCACCAAGCAAAGCAGACTACAAGCTTTGTAAACCTGGCGGTGGGGTTATACGCAAGGCTGGATGTGACAAGAAGTCCCGGCGCCTGCTTTGTTGATGAATAACATGGAGTTATCAATTCTATCACACTTCGAACCCAAGGCTGAACATTCCATCAACCATAGTTTGTGGTAGAAACACCTGAATCAAGATGAATAAATGGCACATGGAGAATTAATTGAGAATCTAACCATATATCTTTAAGTTTCCCAACATCTTTCCGTAACATGAAGTTAAGAGACTACTGATTGAGACAGATGACGATCCATGTTCATCCCCAAGAGCCGTGGTGCAAGCTATTGGGCCGTCCCCCATCTACTTTGGTCGGTGGCTTGAGCTTTTGTAGAGTAAAAAGGCTGTTTTTGACAACTGACCACGTATCAATGATGGGTGACCTCGGCTCTAAGTTCTTGGAAGTTCTTGTAAACTTTCATCTACAAGTCCTTGTAATCATCATCGTAAGAACCAAGGAACAGGTTAGTAGCCGCCTTGCCAGCAATCTGCTGGGTAGCCTTCTCGATGTCGAAGAGCTGGACATCCTCAAGCTTGAGGCTGAGACGAGAATCGATTCCGTAGACGACGTTGGCAAGGAAGTTGTAGATAACACCGGAAGCGGTCCTGTAAGTGAAGGAAACCTCAGCAGAGACGCGGTTGATGGTTGATTCGAAAAAGTTCTTCTTGAACTCGTAGCTGCGCATGGAAGCGGTGGAGCCAGGGGTAAGTCAAACCCCCCACTTCCCGGCACCCCCCTGTTTCTGGCACCCACAAAAACGCGAAAATCCACCACAACGCAATGCCCACCCCCAACCTCCTTTTATCACAACATTTTCAATTCGAGTCCAAATGGGCTCATTTTTTGCACATACCTTCTTCTATATCTAATGCCTCAATATACCGAAGATCAGCTTCGTCAGGCTCTCGAGGACATCTCAAACGGCAAGAGTCAAAAGAGCCTCATTGGAGTATGGGATACCACGATCAACCTCCAACTACGTCTCCAAGGTGGTCAGACTAGGAAAGTGGCTTTTGCTGACTGGCAGAGGCTGTCTCCTGACCAGGAGAGTAAGCTGGCGCATTCAGGCTTCGCTGGGCCTCGCACCAACGCACCAACAGGTGAAGGAATTCGCAGAGCGAGTTCTGGCTGCTGCTGGGGATACCAAACCATTAGGAAAAGGCTGGATCTATGCCTTCGTGAGAAGGAACCTATCATTAAGGTTCAGAGAAGTCGTTCCATCGATTCTAGACGCGTTAATGGGGCATCTACTGAGGTCATTAGGAACTGGTTTAAGTTCCTTGCTATCCCTGAGATCAAGGACATCAAACCAGCCAACAGATATAATATGGATGAGACTGGCATCCTCGAGGGTCAGGGCTAATGGGTTAGTGCTGGGCATGGCTGAGACGACGTCTGTTCGCAAGAAACAACCTGGGTCGAGGGCATGGGTCTCTATCATTGAGTGTATCTCAGCCTTGGGTAGGGCACTTCGTCCTCTTATCATTTTCAAGGGAAGACGGTCCAACAACAGTGGTTTCCATTACATCTGGTTCCATACGATGGGTGGGAGTTTACAGCAACAGATAATGGCTGGACTACAGACTTAACTGCCATTGAATGGTTAGAGAAGGTGTTTATCCCACAGACTATGCCCGAGGCTGAGGGCGAGGCTCGACTGTTGATTGTGGATGGGCATGGGAGTCATACGACGACAGACTTCATGTGGAATTGCTATATTAACAATATCCATTTACTGTTCTTACCACCACACTCCTCTCATGTCCTCCAGCCACTTGACCAGTCTGTCTTCAGCCCTGTTAAGTCAGCCTATCGGAAGGAGCTCGGTTACTTGTCTCAATGGAACGACTCTACCATTATAGGTAAAAGGAACTTCCTGGACTGTTACCAGAAGGCTCGACTTGCTGGTCTATCAGTCTCGAACATCAGAAGTGGTTGGAAGTGGACTGGTCTACACCCTGTAGCGATGGTTAAGCCCCTGATGAACCCTATGGTATTACCTGAGCCTTCTGCTAAGCCCACCACACCCAAACCAACCAGTCGGGGCAAAAAGCGATGCCATAATGGTCAACAAACTACCCCTGTTGAGCCATGGGATTCTGCTTCCTCTGCAGTGGTCTGGTCGACACCCAGGAAGCTGGCAGAGCTCAGCGGTCAACTGCATACACCCAACTCGACAATGATACCAGCACTCAACGGCTGCTGTTCAGGAAGGTGAAAAAAGGCTTCACAGAGCAGGCCTGGCAACTGGCAGCTGCCCAGCAGCAGCTGGCTCACCTGAGGGCTCAAGTTACCAACGCTGCAGTTAGGAAGAGGAAGACTGTTCAGATCGATCCCAACACGAAGTTTGCGAACATCAGGGATATCCATCGGGCTCAAATCGAAGCGGGTGAAAAGGAGGTTATTACGGCTGAATCCAGCGACTCTGAATGCCCTAGTGAGGCTGGCAGTTGTATTGTAGTGGGTGTGGTTGAGGATCAATAGTTAATAGTAATGAGGAGGTTGGGTTGTGATCCCATCGTTTTTGTGGGTGCCAGAAACAGGGGGGTGCCAGGAAGTGGGGGGTTTGACTTACCGCCAACCAAGGGGTTGAGGTGGAACGTAGTGACTCGGTTGGTACTATCGACAACGGCTTCGAGAATGAACTTGATGGCGCCGTTGAAGATGACGTTGCCGCCCTTGAGGGTGATCGTGAAGAGATTCTTGCGCTTGGAGGGAGGAAGCTGGCGAACGGCCAGCTCGGTGTTGGGGACGGCTTCCTCATCCGAGTCGCTTCGCTCAAGGATCTCAACGGCAGTCTCGTCGGAGGCGGCGCGGCTGAGAAGCTCGTCAGAAGACGAGGGACCAGAGAGATCACGCGTTTCGACAACGAAGTCACGCTCAGCCAAGTCGACGGTTTGGAGCTCGGTGGGAAGAGCCATGGCCATGGACGCCAAGGCCACGGCGGTGAAGATTGATGCAGAGAAGCGCATGGTGAAAGATTGTAAAGTGGTCAGATTCAAATGATTGTGTGTTCAAGGAATGAGAGACTGTGGTGATGAGGTAGGAGAAGATGACTCTTGGCAGGCAGAAGAGGCTCCCTTTTAAGGCCAGAAGCCACTCAGCGACAACTTCAAAAAAAAATTTCGCTCAACTCACAATCATGAAGCTTTTCCTACGTGAAGCCATCAGAAGTTCCAAACAGGCCGTGGCATTCTCACTCCGTCGGCTTCAATGGAATGAATCTTGAAAGCATCCCGTTGTAAGTTCGCTTTCATAAATCTAGGTTTGTTATTCATAGAGTTGGCCTTCCCCAAAACGTACGGAGCATTTAGGCAGTTCAGTGTGTCTCTAATTGTATAACTCGTATGCACAGGTCAACTTTCAGTCTTTGCCTTGAAAAAAACCCTACGTGGTGAGACGAACGATTACCAACTACGCTAGACAAAGCTTAAACCAGCATCCTTCAAGGTTCGGCTGGGCCGAGATAACTAATACAAACAGTATAGCTCGTTTTTAGGCTTCAAAGAAGTCGATAATAGGCGGCAGCTGCTCAACGGCTGCACAGAAGTATCCCGTCGGGGTTTGAACTCCCTTTTACCAGCCTAAAATAGGAAGGCGGCCGAAATTGCATACTGCATTGAAGTCAAAAGTCCCCTTCAACAACACTCACTTAGCCTGTTCGTGTTCATTTAATATGTTTTCATCATGGGTTGATTATTGTGCTTGAATTCTTCCTAAAAAAGTATTCGATGAAGTTTCCTCCGTCGTTATTGTTTGTCGGCTTGTTCTATGGCCGATGCTATGCCCAAAGAGGGTTGAACGAGGCAATCTAGAAGGCCGAGATGAGGCGAAAGAAACTTACAGAAGGACCGCTAGACCACGAACTTGCCTGCGAGCTCAATTGTGAGTATTAAGCCGTGATTAGTCTGCCTATTCTTTGGACAGCCTCGTTCTGACTTCGTTGAGAGCTTACAGATCTTGCACGGATATAAATCTCAAGATTACGCCCTCAAAGGTGCATGTACACTCAGATCTTCATCATAACACTCCCGAATTATCACAGGACAACTTCAGTCAACTACTGTTACTCTTTACAATCTTCATCCTTTGCAACTTAGATATCATCACCCCAAATTTCAACAGTATGTATGCCTTGGCTACATCTCCAGACAGCGAGTCTAACATCTTTGCAGTGCAGTTTAGCTCTCTCACCTTCGCTGTCCTCCTCTGCACAGCTTCAGGAGCTCTTGCCCAGAACCAGCCAAGGGACAAGTACAAGTGCTATGTGCCTTTCGATACCTGCGACAAGCCCATTCCCGCAGAGCTGAAGGCATCGATGGCCAAGGAATTCGGTACCCGCAGCGAATGCAGAACGACAGAAGTCGTCTACTACGGCGCCCCCGACGCCGCGATTGAGGGCGTCTACTGCGAGCCCGGCCCGGTTCGTGCCATGGGCGGAATGTTCAGCTACAGCGTCGGTCGCGTTTCTACCGCGTGCCACGCAAAGTGCGAGATCTGGGGCTAGACACATGAGAAGCTGTGGCTTTCAATAACTGAGTTCGCTCTGTGGTGTAAGGATAGCCAGATAAGTTAGGAGAGATGGCCCGAATACAACACTTGCGTCGCTTTTCTTTCCAAACGGTAGAGAGATCGTTAGGCACTTTGCGTAATTACCTCATGCTCTGAATATTTGTCGATCACCATTTATTGATCTTAACTGGTTTGATGCGTACCTCCAAGCAATCTATAAGACCACTAGTAGCTTTAACGTGAGTCATGAGACGCATAACGTTGATGATTTAAACATGGATAAGCTTTGATTCAAGCATTTGCCAAGCAACTCCTCAATGTCACCCCTAGTTTTATAACGTACTTTCAGATCAGGTAAAAACGAAAAGGAATTCAATTCTCTTGATGCTTCCAACAAACTTTTCGCAAAACGTCACACGTTTCATATACAGAGGGGATGAAGGTGTCAGCTTTACAACTTTCAAGATAAAAAGTCAGTATCAGCAATTATCATGAGATTGTCCGGCTGAGGAGTCGCAAGGCGGATTGTGTTCATCTAATTGGGGTGATTATGAAAGAAACGTAGTTAATTATACCAACTTCGTAAGCTACAGTGCCATCTTTGTTTCCCTCATCGTGACCGTCATAATATCAGATACCAACTCAAGAGCCTATGGAGAGCCCGTCGAGTGACCTAGCCGCTAAAAGTCGGTTGAAGCGGAGATCGACTCCCACTCATCGAGAAGAGCCATGGTGCTCTGACACTTCTCTCGAATAACCGCAAGACAGTCGGTGCCCAAGGCCAGCCTCTGAGGGATCTCACGACCCTCAGCAACCCCAGACTTAGTCAGAACATCCACGACCACGCGTGCACCCTTGATCGGGTCACCAGGCTGGTTGTTATCGACGGTTTCCAGCACCTTTCTGACTTGGCCCGCTGCGCTATCGGCATACGCTTCAACAGACTGCTCGACCTTGATGCGTGCACCTGGGTTCAGGAAACCGGTCCGGAAGTAACCAGGCTCAAGGATGCAGACATCGATACCAAACGGCTTCAGCTCGTCGTGGAAACCTTCGGTGAGCAGGCTGACGGCAGCTTTGGTGGAACAGTACATGGCAAAGGCCGGACCGCTCTTCCAGCTACCGAGGCTTCCAATGTTGACGACGGCACCGAAACCCTGGGCGCGGAGGTGGGGGGCCACTGCGCGGGAGACCTTGAAAGTGCCGAGGACGTTGGTGTTGTACTGGTCAAAGACTTCCTTGGCGCTGGCCTCCTCGATGGTGCCTTCGAGGATGTAGCCGGCTGAGTTGATGACGTGGGTCACTTTGCCGTGGATGGCAAAGGCCTTGTTGACGGTCTCTGTGATGGTGTCTTCGTCGGCGGTGACGTCCAAGGGGAGTGTATCGGCGCCCGCGGAGGCCAGGTCAGAGATCTTGGCTGGATTGCGGGCGGTTGCGATGACGCGGTGGCCACGAGAGAGAGCTTCTTTGGCAATGGCGAGGCCAAACCCTGAGGAGGCGCCAGTGATGAACCAGACCGGGGAATCCATTTTGAGGGTGAAGTATTCCGGTTTGAGTAGTAAGGCGGAGGATTGATTGAGTATCGAAAGTTGTGAAGATTTATCTTACAGTCAAGATAATATAGAGATATTGTTCTAAAGTTTTGATGATCATGAAGCACCTTTCCTCAAAAGAAGCGGAAACATCCTGTCTCTTATAGCCCTTGTTATCTGTAGGCTTCAAGTTGAATTTAAATGTTTTACAACAAGAGAGAGAGCAAAAATCCTCCTGCATGTCAGATCCATAGAATTCGTCCGTCATTTAAGCCACTCGGCGATAGATGTCTGGTAGTGGCCTATCAATGGCTTGTACGACACGGAGATTAGAATCAATAGGTCCATGCTGAGGGACGTCCAAGGTCTCTTGCCGCAAGGTCTTTTGTTCGTCAAACTTGAGGGGTTGGAATATGTTCAGTGATGAAGAGATGCTTCCGTGATGGCCTCCAGTGTAAGTGAAGGTGGCGTTAACGCCGAAGGATTTGTGGAGAAGATGCCGACCATCGGGGATAGGCGATGTGGTCTGTCCGTTGGAGATTAGAGTGCGTGGACTGGGACTAAGGTAAGACCGTAAGACTAAGGTAAGGTAAGCCCCTCGATGATTGGACCTCGCCGTCAGCCAGTCTTTTGCGAGCTGACGTTGATACCTCAAAAGAATGTTTGCGACGACGGCTCGGCCTTACATGCCGGTGCCAATTGTCGAGTGTGATGTTGACATCCCAACCCCAGAATTCCTCTAGCGTTTCCCAGGCGGCGTGCGGAGCGGTGGATCTGGCTCCGTGAGTGGAGCCTCCCTCGGCATATTTCCACCTCGACCACCAAATGCCCCGACCACTCGGCGGGGACCTCGTGGGACCTGAGTCGCATTGCATCTCAGGGTCTTTGACAGAACACATTTCTCCCCGCCCAACATGGCGGCGGTCGCAACCTGAACACATTGCGCAAAGAGAAGCCGTCGGGCGCGTACCTATCGAACAACCCAGATCACAGTTCCAGAGCAGCATGAGCCTGCTGCGCCCGACCTGGCCGCCGTCACCATAATGGGTCTTCTAAACTCCCTCCCGAAGCTACCCCTCGTCGGGTCGATCCTCATAGTCCTCTGCTCGCTCTTCACCCCCACGACCGCCTACACCGAACTCGGCGACGAGGCCCTCCGCGCGATCCCCTCGGGTGGCGATGGCTTCAACATTGACACCGGCTCGCTGCTGGCCCCCATCCTGATCCCCCGCGTCCCCGGCACCCCGGGCTCGCTCAAGGTGCAGCAGCACTTTGTCGATTTCTTCCGCGCCAACCTGCCCGAGTGGATCATTGAGTGGCACAACTCGACATCCAAGACGCCCGCGACCGGAGATAAGGAGATACCCTTCACGAACCTCATCTTCCGCCGCGACCCGCCGTGGGCCAAGGGCGGAGACGTCGAGTATCTGACGCTCGTGGCGCACTATGACAGTCTGTACCACCCGGAAGGGTTCATTGGGGCGATTGACAGTGCGGCGCCTTGCGCGATGCTGCTCCACGCGGCAAGGAACATTGAGGAAGCTCTGGTGAAGAAGTGGAAGGCAATGGAGGCCTCAGGTGACGCTGGGAGCGGGCTCGAGGAGGAGAAGGGCGTCCAGATCATTCTGCTTGATGGAGAGGAAGCATGGGTGTCGTGGACGGACACAGATTCGCTCTATGGAGCCAGGTATGTTTGGTGAATCTCTGCGTGACTAGTTTGTCTGTCTAACATCCTCTAGGGCGCTCGCCAAGAGCTGGGAAGACTCTGTTCACCCTGATGGTCTATACAAGACTCCTCTTTCATCCATTAGCCTCTTCCTTCTTATCGATCTTCTGGGTGCCCCTAATCCCCGGATACCATCTTACTTCCCTTCCACGCACTGGGCGTATAAGAAGATGGCAAAGATCGAGCATCGCATGCGCGAACTGGATGTCCTTGAGACCAAACCGAAACATCCTTTTTTGACGGATAGGAACAAAGAGAAGGTCGGCTTCGGTGGGGGGTACGTCCTAGATGATCATGTACCGTTCTTGCAGCGAGGTGTTGAGATCCTGCACATCATCCCGACGCCGTTCCCCGACGTATGGCATAAGATTGAAGATGACGGTGCCCATCTGGACCTACCAACAGTACGGGATTGGGCGCGTATTCTCACGGTTTTCGCGGCAGAGTGGATGGAGTTGGATGAGCACCTACCCAAGCAGATAGAGGGTGAGGCTGCTAGCGATTCGAGCGATATCAAAGATGAGCTATGATTTAGACAGTTTGAAGCGATGCGTTTAGAATATTTAGAAAGCCCTCCGCTTCGCAATCTCATAGTAGCAAGTTCGTCCATGTCTTAAAACAGACTTCATGGCACTATCCGTGTTATTGTGTCTCTAACTTGAGGAATGCTTTACAGGTATCGCCTTGAGAATCTTAAACATAAGCGAATCCCAGCCATACATCAGTCGAATTTAAGAAGCTCAACCCTGGTTAATGAACAATATCATTTTAGCCTTGTTTTACGTATTCAGACATAGAGCAAGGTGACGAGGTGTTGAAGAATGGGATGTCATTATCTGTACTGTACAAAACACGGTGTTAACAGCAAAGGCACTGTCTGGAGGGTCCCGCTATACATGGACCGTGCACGGTCGGTAGTTCGTAATGGACACGAAAGCTGTCCATAAGTGAACGGCCTGTGATGTGAAGCTCCCAAGCCCAAGCTAAAGCTGCCACAGACAAGCACCCTCAGCAGCACAATGCGATTCCTCAACTCCCTGACGCCAGCCCTCGCGCTGTTTGCGGCCGGTGCCGCGCAGGCCGCCTCATCATGGGGATTTGACAGTGCAACTGTCTCAATCACTGGCAAGGGCAAGGATGCCACCAAGGAGAAGTGAGTTACTGCCATTTACGCTTTCTGGAAGCTCTGGGGTGGGAAGGAGGAAGGAAGCCGCGATGCAAGAGAACCTCCAATTGCTGACGAATTGGGTACCCAATAGGTTGAGCGCGATATCTCCCCTCAAGACTGCCCTCTCTCTGGGAGCCAAAGATACTCTCAAGGTCATCTTGACGGCCAAGGAGGGCGACAAGGCCAAGCGCCCGCACCAGGCCTTCTTGATCCTCAAGGAGACCGAGTCTGGCCTCGAGGCCCCCTTCCCCCTTGAGCTTAAGGACACCGGTCGAGGCGTTGTCGACATTGTACGTTCTCCATTCCTCTCCAATCCTCAATGGCAGGTAAGGAAGGCTAATCCTCGTGAACTACAACAGGCCCAGAAGGACCTCCCCGTCCAGCTCCTCCTCGCCAACGAGCCCCTCAAGGCCAGCATCGTCATCGGCTCCTTCGGTGCCGCCAAGGCCCTCGAAACCACCCTCTTCGATGTCTCCGTGAGCCGCGACGCCAGCGCCGCCGCTCCGACCTACGACGCTCCCCTCCGTTACGGCAAGCAGCCCGAGATCAGCCACATTTTCCGCGAGGACCCCCGCAGCCCTCCCAAGATCATCTCGCTGGCCTTTGTCATTGCCGTTCTGGCCACGATTCCCGTTCTCCTCATTGGCGTAAGTGTTTATCCCACCATGTTCCGTCTTCAATTGGAAGGAGCAGTGTGTCCTGTAACACGGAAATGCAACATTGACTGACTTCCCATTCTGCAGTGGCTCTCTCTCGGCGCCAACGTCAACCACATCCAAAAGGCCCTCGGTGCCGCGCCTCTCTCCCACGTCGCCTTCTTCGGATCCATCGTCGCCATGGAGGGCGTCTTCTTCATGTACTACAGCGCCTGGACCCTCTTCCAGACCCTGCCCGCCGTCGCCATCGTCGCGACCTCCATCTTCCTGAGCGGCACCAAGGCCCTCGGCGAGGTCCAGAGCCGTCGTCTCTCCGGTCAGCGGTAAAATGCTGTTCTCGTAGGAGGACTGCACTCTCTCAGACAACAGAAGCATGACCTTCCACAGGAGTGTGGACGAAGGTGGCAAGGCAATGGGGAAACAATCACGAGGTTTGCTTACCAGACCATGCCATGGGCGGTTCAGGTCTTGGCACCAAAAGCTAAAGGGGCCTAAGATGGGGTGCGGAGGAAAGAGAAGCCCCAATTGTACATCAGCATACGTCACGACAGCATCCGAGCATCTGTGAATTAGACACAAGACCAAGAGTCAAATAAAAAGGGTGATTTCGTACCAGGAAAATCAATGTTCAAAGTATCTATCAGTGAAGTACCTAACGCCACGCTCGCTCTATTTATCACACAAAAGAAACCAGCAAGCAGTCATCCCTAACATCCAATGACCACATTTAGGCCTTTTCCGGACGCTCCTTCTCATCACCATTCCCCAAAACCTCGACGCTCCGACTCGCCTCAACGCCAATGTTCATAGACGAAGGTCCGGCAGCAGAATACGCAGGCGGCGGCACATCGTCGCCTGTAGAAGCCCGCCTCCTCTCCCCAACGCCCTCCTCCTGCCCAGATGACGGGCCAGCACGGGAAATGTTGTTTCCATTGTTGTTGAAATATCCCTGCTGCTGCTGCTGCTGCTGCTGCTGCTGCTGATAAGGTCCAGCAACGCCCATGAACCCAGCAGTATCATACCCGTACCGTCCCCTCCTGCCCCCGCGCTGCTGCGCCCTCATGGCATAGACAACAGCCTTCCGCTCGTCGCGCGCGGCTCTGCGCTCGCGTTTGGCCTCGCGGCCTTTGCCAAAGGGGAGCGCGACTTTGCAGATGCCACAGGGCTGGCCGTCGGGTCCCGTGTGGTTGTGGCCTTCGTGGGGGCCGGCGACGGTACTGGGGCCAGCACTGCCGGGGGTTGTGACGGGGGGGTGGTTGTTGTGGTTGTGGCCGTAGGGGTTCCGGCCGGCGGCGGCGTGGACTACGGTTGAGACGAGGCCGGTGATGAGACCCATTGTGTGAGGTAGTGTGGTGTATTTGCTTCTGGGGTTGGAGGTCGGAGGCTGGAAAGCTTGGTGACGGATGATGATACTGGTTGTGGCTGGAACAATGGACAAAGACTTGGAGATGGATTTGCTGATATGATTCAGGTGATGGATGTGTGCCGATTTATTTGAGGAAAGATCTTCAAAGTGTGCTGTCTGATGATGTTTGATGCTCGGTGATGCTTGATGCTTCTGATGCTCCTTCAAATCCAAAAATCCAAACCATCAGGAATCTTCCAACCCTTTATATCTAGCTCCCTCCAAAGCACAATATCAACAAAGAATGGGGAAGACTACCACCCATCGTCTCCATCTCGATTTCCACAAGCCCATATCGGCGCCCTCCCAGCTTCCTTCCCCCCATTGGGAAGTCGATTCGAAAGCGTTCCCCCAGAGCCCCAGAGGCGCACAGCGTTCTGGCGTAGCGGGCAGGACAACTACCCAGCAGCGAATCTCCTGCCAAGCCACGGTAGCCATGTGGGGCCAGCCCGGCACCGTGCTGCCGGATCCGCCCAAGTTCAACCACTCGAAGCGGCCCTCGCGAACCCCGGAGGCGCCCCTCTTTCGATCAAAGGTGCGAGGTGTTCGTTAGCCTCCTGCACTCCCTCGAAGTTCTTGGGGTCCCAGGCCCCCTAAATGGATGGCTGAGCAGCCACGCAATGGAGATTGGAGGCTTGCTGCGGGAAGGGGGAAAGGATGTCAGCATGTCAGCATCGTTCGCACTCGGCTAAGTGACCAATGATGGCTGATTTGGTACGATCTTAGCGTGGTCAGGTACGGCGCAGCAGTCGTAGTCTCGATAGCGTCCCGTGGGCAAGATATCCTTGAAAGTAAGGTACCTAGTGGGGTAGAGTGAATGGTGCCTCATTGAGTACGGTGTCTCCGGTTCAGTCAACAAGCATTCTCGAACACGATGATTACTGAAATGCGAATGCGGGAGAGGTAAGAAGGAAAAAGCAGGAATATCCAAAATGAAGGCCGGCGTGACCGGCCGGCGGCTATGCCATGCGTGCGTATATACGGGGAAGAACTTCTTCGTCTATAATCGTAGGCCCAAAAAGGGCAAATAGTTAGATAGCCAAAATGACTTCATATCATGCATATCTTCATCGTCGTCTCATCTGCCGCTATGGCTCGTACGTCCCATTGGATGCCGCTACGAGCTCCCACCAAGCCCGCATCAAAGCCATTCCGCCGTTCTGCGTCTCCGGGGTCCTACCCCGGCCGCGGTCGTTCGGATCACCGGTCGCTGCCGTTGACTTTTCGTGCCGTTCGGATCCGACCTCGTCCACTTTATGAGATCCTCGTCTATCAGAACCACCAAGAACCTGCTGTCCAGAGTGTTCATCATCACCGACCAGGACGTAGCCCTTCTTCTTCTCATTGTTGCGCGCCTCGCCATTTGGTGCCCATACCTCGTCAGGATTGCCATGGGCCCAAACACCGTCGTTCGGCAGCCCGTAATTACGGTAATCAGTCACATTGGGTGCGTCGTGAGGAATACCGTCTGTCTGCATTGTCGGCGCGCTTTTCAGGAAAATGCCTGCTCCCCACCACGTACCGAAACGGCCTTCCCTGTCCTTAGTCAACAAAGCCGCTTTGGCATTGTGCTCAACCCATTTCAGATAGGCCTGACAGGCCGATGCGTGGGTCGTCTTGACTTGATTGTACGCTTTTGCGTTGACAGTCATGCCGCGCTCAACGATGGCAGCGTCCAGTGGTTGGCAAAAGGTTACAAAGTGATGGAAGAAAATGCCCTTGAAGGTTTGCCCGTCCTGGGAGCAAGTCGCGCTAGCATCGCAGGTTTCTTCCATGACACCTCCTCGGCCCAGGCCTCGCCAAGGGGGCAAGTAACCTGGAGGAAGCTTTGACAAGTCATCAACTGGCTTGTTGAGCCTCAAATCCCAGCCCGAGGCTTTAATAACGTTTTGAATCAGCCTGTGCCCATCTTCGAGGTAAGAAGCACTGCCTGTGGCGGCAAACAGGCCTCTTTGGCCAGTCAAGAGCACTCCCTGGTTATAGGTGAAGACAGCTTCACTGCGCTGATCGCACTTGGTGTTGCCCGGTTTGGACCTATCAACGTGATAGCCGTCAACGTAGAGACCAGCATGATTGGTCATGTTGACGCCAGTGAGCCATCTGTAGCCTTCAATGGCAGCGGCGAGGTACTTGGGCTCTCGCGTGGCCTCCACACCACTGGCGCGGTTGATCCACGGCGTGGTGTTGTTATCACCGGGAAACCAGAGGTACATGGAGATTGAAGCCGCAATCCAGAGTTCGTTCGTGATGGCGTTCTTGTAGGGCTCCAATCTCGGGTTCCAGTTCATACCGCCGTCGCAGAGTAGTGTGTCCCACCCCTTGGACCCAAGGTCCCAGAAGATTCTAGCCCGGTGAGCAAAAGAGGGTATCCAGTACTGCCCATGCCAGGGCCCGTTCGCCAGGGCATCTCCCAGGCCTGGCGTTGCGCTCTCGTTGAGGCCTTCCCGAGGATAGAAGAGCTTTGAATGTATGTCAATAAACTTGATGGCGTCGATCCAACCAAGAACAACCCAAAGGATGTCGTCGAAAGCCTATGTACTGGTCAGCATGCGCTGCTTGGGGTTGATATTTATGGGGGTAGAGACGAACCTGGTGGCGGATCGCAACGTCGTCCTGGCCGAAGTATGAGGCCACTAATTGAGTAAAGAAAGTATCAATGAGGTTTCTTTTTGCCCCCTTATCACCGCTTCCTCCAATATCGAGAACAGCCAATGCTTGTGAGAGCGAAGTCAACGAGCCTGACAGCATCGTTTCCATGACGGCCGCAGTCCAGTCGATGGCCTCTGGCCATGTTCCCTGATCCGATACGAAGAAGTCATGTTGCATCACAGTAAGAGCTTCGAAGGTGGCCTCGAGTGGCTCGTCTTTAGCCTTGGCCGTATAAGCAGTGGCTTCTCCTTCAGCCTGTGGGGTTTCTAGGAAGGACGTGGGCTGTCTCGGTTCGCAGTCGGTCGGAGGCTGGTTTTCGGCATAGAAAATGGGGCAATACGTCTCGAGCGCATTCGGAGGAGTCGCAACGAGGGCTGTTGCGCACGAAGAAAGCGCAAGCACCGAGAGGCAAGCCCCGGGCAGTCGGGGGATTGATCGACGCATGATGGGAGAATCGTTATCGAGATCAAAAGATAAAACAACTCAGTTAATGATGGCGAGCAATCAGCTCCAAGAAAGGCCACTCATGTATGGAAGCGCTCTGCCATGTTCAGAAGGACTTCGCAGTCGCCGAAGCGGGAATTGGACAATGACAATATGCACGAGGAATTGACAAAGTTGAAGAAAGAGGGCACGCGACGAGGGAAGATGCGGAGGAACTATGCGATGCAAGCAGCAATACGGGAAGTCAGTTGAAAAGCTGGGGAAGAGCAAGACAAACGGCGGGCGGGCGAAATGCGGGAAGGAAGCGAGCGATGGCGCAGGGCTCTTTGGCGATGGACTGCCCAGAGTCGAGGACCAGGCCAAGCCCGTTTTCGCAGGAGAAACCTTGGAAAAAATGATCCACCTGCACGAGGCAGATGGACCCCTCAAAGACCCCTCAAGACTCTACACTAGTGGTCACAGAATGGCGCACCGAGAGGTCACAGAACTGACAGAAGTGGGTGGTGCAAGCGGTGCGTGGTGGTCACCTCCCACCACTCCCACCATCCACCATCCCTCGGAAAGGTGGCGGCGTCGGCCACTAGAACAAGTTCATGCGGGGCATTTCTGGCGGCGCCAAGACCCTGCGCTTTGTCCTGTCAGTCTGTCACTGCTCCAGTGCTCTCGCTGCGCTACGGGAGAGAATCGGCGCATTTCCTTTGCCGATCGAGTACGAAGTATGGCTACCCGCTGAAGAAGATTGTACATAGTAGGTAGGTAGCAGGAAACAAGCTGCTGTAACCTGCTTGCCTGCTTCTGCGACTATCATGGCCATGTCGAACGAATATTCTGCGCACGAGGTGATCGGAAGGATGCTTGGTTTGGATCCCTCTACTACCAACGGCAAGGCAATACGTACCTTACACGAGACTAACCAAGTACCTTACCTTGTGCATGAACGGTTCCGCGATTTCCAGCCTCTTCGGCGGTGTAAGGAAACCAACGCCCACGATGGCATGGCACCGCTCGCAGTAAGCGTGATCACCTGCCGATATCTGGCGACCAAGTTGGTGTTGGTGGACCTGGTGACCCGCGCCTTGTGCCCACGGACGGAACCAAGAGCAGTCATATCTCAAGCAAATATAGAAGGTTGTAGAGCCTCTCCAACCTCCAAGCAACGTCTTCCTGACTAAAAGAATTCTCTAGGTAAGATATGGATGAGATGTCTCGGGTCATGGGACTTGACTTTGAAGTAGGAATGGAAGTCGACGGCCGTTCAAAAGTGCCGTAAGTGCTTGAGCGAGTCGGGGAATGCATCACTAGGGTGAAACGGACCGAGTCGGTTTGTTAGAGATGCGTTGAGATGTGCTCGACCGTGCTAGAATCTGTCTCAACCACCTTGCGCCTACCTGCTAGATGACTTTTGGTGTGAGCGGTAAAAGTTGAGGAAGGGTATTCCCGTTCCTGATGTTGGTGTCTTATTCATCTGCACGACTAGCGGAAACTCTAGGTGCCTACCACGTGTCTTGCCACACCGAGTCTTTAATAGGTCTCAGGTGCAGACAGCGACGACTGGTTCGGTGAGGAGGGCGGGAGTGTCTCTTCACCTCGGCGAAGACGGTGGATGGCTGACGTAATGACGGAAGAAATAACCGAGTGCCCTGCATTATTAAGTTAATTGACCTTGCCTACCTTACTTAAAGTCCCGGTCATATTTAGCACAACTTTCAAGGTACCTGTATTCATATGCGAACTGTAGTAATCTTATGTCTAAATAAGCACATACAGACGTTAGATCAAAATAAGAAGCCTTTGCTAATTTGACTTGACGGTTTCCCGACCCTGTCTTGTGCGAACAAAAGAGCGCGTTTCTTTGTCCAGTGCAGACCAACCAGCACGCGTTTCCAGCTGCAGAGGGCTAGAGGCTGGCGACTTGTTAGTGATGATTCGCCCAGCAAGGGCACTGAGCTGGGCTGGGGGAGGCAGGGCTGCCCCACTAACATGCACTGACGCCCACGGCCAATCGCCAATTGTTTACGCCTACAGCTCCGAAAGTAAACAAACCGACCCCTGCCCTTCCACACTAGGACGCTTCTTCCTTCTCCATCATTTGCTTGGGTTGTGAACTTCATCATACACCACAGCTTCTTCTGTCGTTCGTCTAGCCATTGTGCGCGCTTCTATGCCTTGAGCACCTTTCTCTTGCTCGGTATTGCTTCGATTCAGTCTTACCATCTAATTGTCTCCGCGATATCGGCTACTCGACGCGTCGCTTCTAGCCATTGCGGCGCCATCGTGAATCTACTTTTCTTCTCGACTCCCGTCCCGGAAACCGCGCCCGACGCGTCCCAGGGCAGTCATGGAGGCCGACTCAGCACACAACCGCTACCGTTCTCGCATTCTGCGGGAAATGAACGCAAATCGCGACAACCCATTCAACTCCCCACCTTCTTCGAC